AGCCGGGGATGGGGATGGGGCCGGGACTGACCGCTCCGGGGGTGTGGGCTGAGGGACACGGGGGTGGGAGATGTGAGCCATGAGGGACAGGTTCGAGAGAAGGGGACTGGGGGTCCCGGCCCGAAGGGGCTCGGGATGTGCTCCCCGAAGGGCAGAGAATCGGGGAACCGAGTCCCCGGCGTGTGGGGAGAAACGCCCTTTCTGTCTGAGCAAACAGGTGGTTTCTGCTTTTACCTCCTCCCTGAGCTCAGTGTCTAAATAAAAAGCCCTCAGCTGGGATATTTTTGCTTGAATTTCAGTTCTGACTTGCGAGCTGGAGCCACTCTTCCTTCACCCTCCTCCAGACACAATCCGGGCCCCTCCGCTGCCTCAGCCGCAGCTCCTGCCCCGGCGGAGCCTTGCACAGCCCTCCCATCGGGGCCGCTGGCCACCAGAGGGAACTGAAGTCTGCCGCAAACTGAAGCTCTCAAAGCATGCCCAAAGGACATACAAAGCATATTTTTTTTAGCATGACTCATTTCTCAGGCTGCCCAGAGAAGCTGTGGCTGCCCCATCCCTGGAAGTGTCCAAGGCTGGGTTGGACAGGGCTTGGAGCAGCCTGGGATAGTGGATGTGTCCTTGCCCATGGCAGGGGAATGGAACTGGATGCTCTTTATGGTGCCTTCTAACCCAAACCATTCTGATTCTATTATAAATAGTTGCATCTAGAGCAGATCAGTGGGTCAGGATCTAGACCAGGTTTTAAAGATGTTCCTGTGTCTGTTCCCAGAGCAGGCCTCAGGCCTTCGGTGTTGGCAGGTTTGTGGCTGCTCAGATCCATGAAAACCCACGTTTTTGGTGGCAGATGGAAGGTTTGCTGGGTTTTCTTGTCTGTCTACTATGTGGTAGCAACAGATTCAGAAAGTTCTGTTGTATTACAGCTCACCCTCAAGCTGAAGGAGCACTGCAGATACCTGTCCACAAAGTTTTCCACCTTGCAAAGAGAAATCATTGACTGAACTCAGTTTGCTAAACTTCAGAATTTTCTGGGAACATGCATTCATGTATTAAGTTGCAATGTGCTTAAATGGAGCACATTTCTACCCTGTCAGGTAGTTGGAAAGGCAGGTCTCCAGTGTGTTCTGTAACCCCTCCTACCAGTGACGTGTTCTTTTCGCTCAGCCCAGTCTTATTCCTTCTACTGCCAATGAGGAAAAGTAATTTTGTTATCTTTTGTATGCTACTAACACCAACTCATGGTCATCCTTTCCATTTAGTAAGAGATGAGTTAATCTCTCTGTTCCTCCATTCCTTGGACAGAACACATTCTTCAATTTCTATGTAGTTATTGAAAGATCATCACCTTTGCTCTTCCCTTTCAGGTTTCCTGCAGGGATCTCTATCTCAATACAGGTTAGAGCCTGGGTCACCAAAGCACTTTGATGTATTTACTGAATTGGGATTTGAGGTTTGTGTTCACTGTGTGTCTGTTTAAAATTTCTTGACAAGATTGCTTTTTAGGCACAGGTTATTAGACAATCTGTTCAGAGGCATGAAAGAAAATATCCATGAGTGCAGGAAGGTGAGAGGTTTCTTGAAGACTCACAGCCTTGCTGATGTCTGCCCAGATTTTGGAGTGGTTGCATGGTTTATTCACATCTCTGCCATCAGAATCATCTAGATTCATTGGTCTACCAAAAACAGATGAAGTATTTAATGCTGCATATGCATCTATAAATCTGAGAAGGAATCCTCTGTGTCCAGCTGATCCCATTCCAGTCCCCATAAATGGCATCAAAAGGGTGGGCAGGCATTGGAACAGGCTGCCCAGGGACATGGTGGAATCACAATTCTGGGAGTGTTCACAAAACCTGTAGGTGTGGTGCTTATGGACATGGTTTAGTGGTGCATCTGGTGATACTCAGTTAATGGTTTAACTCAGTTTTAGAGGTCTTTTTCAACCTTAGTATTTCTATAAAAAGAAAAACAGGGTGTTGCTCAGGTCCAGACTGTCCAGAAGCAGCAAAGCAAAACTTTTCCCATAATAGAGTGCTATTTTTTTTTATACTTTCTCTCAGCATAACTTTTTCTTCAGGCTGCTTCACTTTCCAACCCAGTATTTAATGAAATATTATCTTTACCTGATGTAAAAATGTTAAGCCTATGGGATGCTGGTGGTTTTCTCACTAAAGCTTCACCTTCCCAAGAATATTTTGTCTTAAACAAGCATATTTTGTCTTGATCAAGCATTAGCTTGATCAGTTGTAAGAGATTAAACCAAGTGGTGTATGGCAGATGAGTGTTGTGCACAATGAAGAAAACCTAATATCCTCCCTCGGTCTGCAGCAGCAGCCTGGTTTGTATTTAGATCTTGCAGCAGTTACTATTTCATCTACTGCACATAATAATCATCTGTCAACATTCTTGCAGCAAGCTCAGTTGCTTCTCTTTACAATGTACCAAGGTGATTAACAGAATCAGTTCTCTTTGCAGATGCTTTGCTTCCAATGATCTGGAAGAAGCATAAACATGTAGATGGCAATTCAAGCTGCTGTCTTATTAGGATTTCTGTTGGAAACAGCACTGAATCAGCAGCTCAGAGGATTATGACAAACATCGATGTGCAGATACATAACTCAATTTCTCCACATTTTTCAGTTCTTTCTGTTCTGATTGTGAGCCTTTGATTTCCATTTTCACCCTGGGGTTAGGAATATAAAAGATGGATGTACTGCATGGAGAAGAAGGTCTGTGTAGCGTGATATCTTATCCCCAGGAATGGATGCCTCAGCAGGTGTGTAGGAAAACAGTAATCATTCCACAATGCTTCCCGAGAATGGTGTCTCAGTCTGTGATTGTTGCACGGGGATTTCCTCACAAAGACACGGTGTGTGACTTGAACTGCTCACAGTCCTTTCTTCTGCACTAAATTTACCAGCCACATTTAAATCCAGATAAATACTCCTTACAAATGTTTGGTGGCAACATATCCTGCAATAGTTCACTCCCAGGAATTATGCAATCTGCAAATCACAGTGCCTTTGCTTCCTGTAACATCCAGTTTGAGCACAGATATAACTGGCTTTTCCTTCTGTCCAGTTAATGGTGTCTCAGGGCTCTGAAAGGTTTCTTACACAAATTTCCTGAAAATTCTGATGCTGTCAAGGCTCAGATCAGTAGCTGTGTGCTGGCAACTCATAAATTCCTAAGAAACAAGGATTTGCATCACTGAGGAATACTCTTGTGCCTTTTTTTATCTTTATATACATTCTCTTGTGCACACTGTGTATTATAGTCCCTAAAGGCTTACATTTCAAGGCATGAAGCAGATCCAAATGGTCTCTCTTAAGAAAAAGTCTACCTAGCAAAGAAATGTTCTCTTCACTGCAGTTTAGAATCTTCGATGCCAAAACACATTGAGAGCAATGAAAGGAAACTACTAAATTCTGCAGAAGAATATATTTCAAATTATTGTGCTGCATGTCACACTTTAGTTTTTATAGGTTTTATAGGACTCATGTATCATGACAATATTCTGTTTTGGTCTTGTTCTTATCTTACTTTGTTGTTGCTAGT